AGCATTCTAATGCATTGTATTTGGTCTCATTCATAATTGTTGAATCTTTAGATTACTGAGTTAGCATGTAATAGTATTTATGTTTCATTATGCATGTTAAATCATTGTCTGACATCAGACATGTTTGAATTCTAACGGTCACAGTTTCTAATTTTCATCATCATTATTATTTCTAGATTTTAATGTATGTAAAAAAATCATTGAAGAAACTGATTTTTTATTAAAATTAATATGTTTTTGAAGTACCCAACAAATTGAATCAACCTACAGTTCATAAAATTTCACTGTATCCGCTTACAGCACACACATATACATTAGAAATTATTCTTTCAATTCACCTACTAATTAAAATATACACACAATATAAATTCAAAGTTTTGAACGAAGAGATTGTACATTCATGGTATCGTTCTACTGGTTATGTATGTAAACACTGTATAATACAATTACATGAAGAAAGAAAATAGTTGACAATTATTTATTATTATTATTGTTATTTGAGAAAATTATTAAAAATCCAATTAGTGTTTTGTTTTAAATGATATAAAGGATGATGATGCTGATAATAATAATAATAATAATAATAATAATAATAATAATAACAGAAAGAATAAAGATTATATTTGTATGCTGATGATGATGACGATGACATGTAATTACAGTGTAACCATATGTATGCTCTCAAATGAAGACAAATAGATGATTAGAAAATAATAAACAGATGTGTTTGTACTATTGACAATGTACAATAGAAAAGAAAAAGATATTTCATTGTTCTATCTTAAATTATAAAGAAGTAAGATAGATAGATAGAGAGAGAGATGAAAAGGGAAGATACGTGAATAATTTTATTTGCCTCAAGTAATTTATCCAACCTATAGAAAGGTGAAGACACACACACACAACACAGACTACCTGTGGAATATTAGAATACATATATATAAAATGAATATCAGCTAGTTATCCAGTTATCATTTTGGGGAGAAAGACATAGAATAGGCCACCAGTAATGTTTATGAATGACACAAGGGGATAGTTGTTCAGATTCTATCGAGAACATTAATTTTCTTTTCAACGCTTTTTACCTGTGAGTACTGAGTGGCATAACATGTTGACTGAGAAAATCCTTGCTCTATTTTCACCAAAATTATTTCATGAATAGAGAAAAAATGTTTTGACATTAAATTTTACATTATTTCATGGTAAAAGATTAGAGTTTGTTAATGAAGTGTTCAATGAATAATCAGTTTCGCTATATTGATGAAATTATCTTCAACTTTTTAAAAAAAACTGTTAATAATATATAATATAAATATTAGTTAATTTCATCATTGAATAATTTTTTTTATCTAAAAATGAATTATTACAATAATAATTTTTAAATCTGAAAGAAAATTCTTTCTAACGATTAAGTATGATCAAATTTAAAATAGTTTTTTTTATAAATCGATGACTATTTGTTATGCTTGAACTATAACCAGTTCACCTTAGTCGGTAAACGAGAGCGAAGAGAAATAATGATCCAGTGACAAGACAGACTATTCCGATTCGACTGTCCGCGGCCCTGCTAACGATTTCAAAAAGTCTTGATATGGCGTAGAAAGTGTATTCTACAAACACCCAGAAATTATAAGGTTTTCGAGCACACATATCGAGTTCGTTTGGGAGAGCCACAAAAATAGCGTATTAAAATACTACGTCAGACAATGACAGTCCATGTGGGAAATGTAATCTCAAGGTCAACTGATCAGCCCATGCACGAAAACATATCATCGAAAATTAGGACCTTTATCAAGTAAGTTCTGGGAATCTAACGTCCCCGACACTATTCAAGACTGAAACCTATTCGGAATGCTGTAAATGTTAATTAAGTGCAAAATGAACAATTATTTAATAGTAATAATAATAATAATAATAATACCTCAAGTTTGTTTACAGTCAGTCATATGAACAAATGTATGCTTTATACTTTTTAATAATTTTCCAAGTTATATCTTTGTTGTTGATTAAATTTATTTCTGCATTATTATATGCATAAATAGAAGTTGTGAATAAATAAATACAATATTTCAGACAGGATATATAAAGCTAAGATATTTCATAGTGTTCTATTAGCTATTATATGAACATGGAGCTATAATTGTTAACTACCTATTTGTGAGTAAAAAAATAAGAAATCACTTTTATTTTTGTAGTTAAATCATGGACTGAATTTAGTTCAATATGTGTTGAAAATTAAGAAATAACGAGTAGCGGTTTCGTCTCAGCATGAGGCTTTTCAGCGATGTATATTCAACACTTCGTTGTAGGGAGTCGAACACAAGAACTGTAGGTTAGATAGTCGGTAACTGATCAGTTAGACAACCGAGTCAGTTTAAATTTCCTACTTCAGTTAGCTTATGATATTGAAAATCCATTTTTTATTGTTATTAGTCGAGAATCGCCTCTAACCAGATATGGTTAAACTCTATTGATCGTAGCTTCGCATGTATATAATACGGTCTGGCATAACAGCTTAGGCTATTGACAAACGATTACATTTAAACTATAGAAGGTCATTTTTTCGTATATTGTTTTCTGTTCAGGTGACACCACACCTATTATAAGTTTACTTGAGATAAGTTTACACAGAGTCAGATCATTAAATTCTGAGAGCTGATTTGATATTTTTGTGTCTGAATTTTCCTATTGATGTCAAAGACTCCAACTTTTATGTCACTATTTAAATATGAATCCTGGGTGAATCACTTAGACATTTTTATTTATCATAAGTTTTTATTAAAGTGGTATGTTAACTATCAGTGAAATGCATGACAAGTGTTTCATCCTGTTTCTGGTTCATTAGATGGACTGACCTTTATTTAATTATTCATGTTCATACTGAGATCTGAACCGAGTACTTTTAACTGCAACAGGACAATATGACCTTCACAAATTAAATTCATGCACCGTGCGCATAAGTTAATGGCCAGTTGGATTACATTTTGAGCTCTAAGACACTTATCCATAAATGACACTAAATGATTTCATATCGTAGTAGGAAATGATTAAAGCTATCAATGTGAACTAAGAAACACCAATCAAGTGGTATAAATTTAACATGTTAAGTATGAATCATGTTGAATGTATGTAAAAGCATCAATTGAATTGAATCTACTCAAAATACATAAATCAGGGTCAAATCACTTTAATACTATTCGAAGATTTTTCAATAAAAATTTTATAAAGAAACAATTTTATCCGTTACAAGATGGTATACATTGTTTGTATTAAAAATCAATATTCAATGTTAAATTGTGTACAATGATGAGATGTGTATTTTTTTCCTTTCTAATTTAAATTGTCTAAATTTTTCAAATTATGAATTGTGCCATAGAAAATCGACACCGCTATGTTTATTCATAGTTAGACTGTTCATAAGTGAATAAATATACATGTATAAAGACCAACAGATTTTGCGCTTACTCATTGACTCACATCACTGATAAAATTCAATCAATGCATAACTAAAACATAATAAATATTTGTTATTTTTTTTCCAACAATGGAAAATAACAATTTATCATTAAGATATATAATTGTACAAACAAGCACATACATACACATCTATGACTATGTGTATACAGTGTGTTACAATGGACGTACACGTATACACATAAAATATACATTGGTATTTTAAACTTGTCAGATCAAATTGGCGACAACTGTGTAGTTTAGCACTGGTGACTGTCGATATTCTTATATGTATATATTTTTTCACATGGATTTTTCTCGTGCTTATAGGTGATAATCATTAAAATAATAACACAGCACAACACAACACAAACAAGCGAAAAAATAAACACAAACAACACTATGCCATTATTCATATAACAATAACGATAATAATAATTATTATTATTATCGTTATTATTGTTTTTATTCGATAATAAAGGCGGAGAAAAAAACATTGGTGTTTTCTTTTCTGCGAGTGAAAGTTAAGCATGAAACAACAACAGAAAACAACAACAAAATAAATGGAACAGCTGAGTGAAACAACAACCACACAACATAAAGTTTGTATCAGTTATAATTCGTAATTCACCGTTATTCCATCCACCATCCAGTTTTACTTCCTTACTATTCATTCTAAGAAAAAAAGGAGAAATAAAAAGGAAAGAATCAAATGTTGTTTACCACAATTATGAAAATAGGACATATTTATTTATTTATGGATATTTTTTTTGTGAAATGGTTAATATGCATGTGAACTGTATACAGATTGTATGTAAATCAAGCATTGCGTGTATTGTATTACTACTTTTATCATTATGATTTTTATTATTATTACGCTTATTTCGACTACAACTATCTCACATAAATATGCATTTCTTTGTAATTGGCGCCGCGTATAATTTCTCAGTCTATATTATAGTAGAACATACATATGAGAAAAATATGTATATCCCATGAAAAAAATAACCATATTCATATGTGTACATTCATAGTTGATTCGTTTACATTGAAAGAAAGAAATAAGATGAGTTATTCCCAAGATGAAATACCTAAAGACATCTATATATATAGGTATATAGATATCTTTCAAATAGTTTGTCAAAGTCACTGTCACCACCATACCGCCAAAATTATCTTCATCATTATCAACAACAACAACAACAACAACACAAGAATAATGGAGTACCGTTTAAACCAGTAGATAAATAAGAGGAGAAAGGAAAGAAAATAGATAAAACGATTATAAACTACAAATAATAAATAAATAGAATTATTAGAATATTTTACTGTGAACATTTTTATTCATTTACTAATCGTTTTGTATTTTCCGTTAGACAGTATGATGATGGGAATGATAGCAAATGGTGGTATGGTAGACTTTCATTTAGGTGCATATACCATCTGTTTTCTAATATAGAAAGAAGGAACAGAAAAAAGCGTATGTATATATGCCTATATATTTTCAACTTTCATCTATGGAACATAAATATCACTTCATTCGGATTATGATTAATGTTACTACTACTACTACTACTACTACTACTACTACTACTACTACTACTACTACTACTACTACTACTACTACTACTACTCACACTACTACTACTACTACTACTACTACTACTCACACTACTACTACTACTACTACTACTACTACTACTACTCACACTACTACTACTACTACTACTACTACTACTACTACTACTACTACTCACACTACTACTACTACTACTACTACTACTACTACTCACACTACTACTACTACTACTACTACTACTACTACTACTCACACTACTACTACTACTACTACTACTACTACTACTACTACTACTACTGTTATCGCTGTTATTATTCTTAAAGTCTGAATCTGTAGACACATTTAATAGAAACTCTAAGTACTTCTATTATTACCTTCTGTTAATAGTAGTGAGACTGAGAAGTAAGTGACCTCAAATTAATTTCAAATAGGAAACCAAAATACTTAGTATTTATGTAAGTGTATGTGTTGTGATCATCTCAAGAAGAGGAACTTCGGAAGTCTAAAAACACCAAACATTGTATATTCCTCCCAATTTATTGAATTTCATGAAAGAACTCTTCTTGGTGTGTTGAAAATACAATTAATAAAGAAGAGTTTTTTCCTAAAAGTGAGTTTCGATTTATTTTTTCTCGAACTTAGTTCGTTTACAATCGCGAGAGTGAAGTATTGAGAATTTCACGAAAAATACATTGACAGATTTAAGGTCAATAACAACCAATCAAGATCGAGGTTAACAGAACAAACTACGGGTCAAACGTGGGGAAATTCGAATATTTCACTTCTATTTGAAGTTTGTGCTGATGATGTTGTTCAGAAGAACAATGAAAGCTCCACGACCCAAACATCCAGCTCAGAGAATGAAACTTCACCACAAATGTACAAACATTGAGAGTTAATCAAGCTCAATGATAAATAACTATGATCCGTACATATACCATTTTACTTGTGGTTTAACAAATGATCTAAGTTTCTAAAGCTCTTTGATTCAATAATGTTGGGTAAGATATACCTTTTGACTAACTCGCCTATCGGTTAATATTTGCCTTCAGGAAACCAAATATATATGAAGACACTGCGAATCCATGTGAAATCAGATATATTTACTGCTCAGTAGTGGCTGGGAACTAAGATCAAACACCTATATGAATTTTCTTATCTTATCTTCAACAACTCTTCAATGCGTAGACAGCATTTTTCAAAGATCGATCCCATCTGGTTCATCACAGAAAACTGAGAAATACTGTAGAGCTGAAACTCCTCAGTAACATACATTTACAACACAATCAGATGTCGAACTCAAGACATTGAAGTCTCATGTGAAATACTTAACCATTAAAACCAATAAGTGCAAGATACGTCATTAAAGATCATTTAATCCGATTAGTAACGAATGTCCTTACCGCTGACATGTTTGAACTACAGCTGTCATGGTTTCTTACCAGAATTCTAAAGAAAACACCTATAAAGAAATTAATGGTATACTGATTATCATAGTATCATTGAAATGGTTTTGTAGTAATCGGTTCAATTTTCAAATTATATTTGTTATAACCAGTTCATAAATAAAGTCCTTCAACTACAAAAATATCTTTCAGATGACGATCATAAACTAAATAATTTATTGCATTAATTTAGTAAAATATGTACAAGAAAATTGTTTATTTAATTAATCGCTTTACAGAGTTGTGAAGACTGTCAATCATCGATCGATCAATGTCAGACCACCATTAGAAAGCTGGAAGCACTGGACGGCCGTTTCGTCCCAGTATGGGACTCATCAGCAGTGCGCATCCACGACTCATGTACCTCGCAGGATTCGAAACCAGGACCTTCGGTCTTGCGCACGAACGCCTAACACCTAGACTACTGAGCCGGTATCTTATTGTGTTAATGTCTAATTTCGGTCAATTCAAGGAGTTGCGCAACTCCACACACTGTTTTCGGTAGTTACTGTCTACACCAGTACCAGGACGAAACGGCCGTCCTGTGCTTCCACGTTTCTAACGGTGGTCTAACATTGATCGATACAAGATTTCAAATTTAATTAATTGTTTAATAAATGCAATATGTTTGTTGATTAACAAAACGATATCACATAATTGGACTCGGCATACAGTTCTAATGACGATAACGATGACGGAGAGAAATAAACAGATAAATAGCCCCCCCCCCTCAAAAAAAACGGTACTTCAATCGAAATGTTAATAAAATAGAAAAAAAAATAAATATAAATCACATTGAATAGGATTGATTTAATTTATCATTAACAATCATAAATTCGTAGAGATAATTAGCGATATTTTGATATGTTTACATTTTGTAAATTACTCATTCTTGTAGTCCGAGTCCACAGTTCTACAATACACTATGTAATAATGATAAACATTAGAAGTCTAGACAATTATCAACGACATATATATATATATATATATATATATATATATCAGATTAAGGAGTACTATTCTCTTAGATAATAATAATAAAATAATCATTATTATTTGTGTATGATGGCGTCGTGTAATTTAAGACATCAGAAATTATTGGAGCCATTTATATAATTTTATTATGTACCGTAATATTAATTTTCTTCTCTTTTAAAGGGAATAGAAATTAGAAGAAATAGAAATGTGAGAAAAGTAACAATCTAAGAGTATAAACTTCTAGTCGCCTTATAAAGTTTTCACTCTCTCTCTCTCTCTCTCTATATATATATATATATATGACTGTACTAAGTTTTCTGATCTACGGTAATCATCTAAAGTTTATGATTATTTTTTAATCATTAATAGATATTGCAATTTTATTAAAATTATCGCATTCTTCAGTAATATTTCTTCCTTGTAATTTATAAGTAAAATTTAGTTATATCCATAAATAATTATATAAGAATGAACATGTATAATTAGTCATTGAATGTAATAGAAATCTTAACAGAACAATACTTTCTAATATAAATGAATAATGTTGAAGTTTAAATGTACATATTAACTTTTCAATAGAGAGTCTACATCTGTCTATCTATCTATCTATCTATCAAACACCGCCAGAAACAAACTACTGTGGGTGGGGGAGAACAAACCAGATTCCAGATGAGGAAGAAATTATAAAACGATAGTGGAGATGGATAGGAAAAACGTTGTCGAAAGCACCCAACTGCATCACGAGACAAGTCCTCGCTTGAGAATCTCGAATCCAAAGGAAAAGTTGTAGAGCAGTGAACACAGTGTGTTGAGAATTAAAGACAGACATGAGGAGAAAGAATAGTAATTGAGTAAAAATGGAAAGGAGAGCGGAGGGCACAGTTAGTTGGAGAATTCGGTCAGCAGCCTATACTCCATCGAGGGGGTGGGTGGGTAACTGGCATAAGTAAGTTAGTGTTTGCGTTTTGAGTATCGGAGTGAACATATCAACTCTGACATGAGGCTTTATTCATCAGACGAGTCATAAATAGGATGAAATGTACGTCTTCAATTCCAGCGTTAGCTATTATCCATCTATGCCTAAATTATGAAAAGTAATCTAACATCAACTCTAGATGTTTCTCGAAAAAGGAAATTTTTCGATTTTCTTCTACACTTATTTCATTATTAAAATTGATTTGTTTTTGTTTAAAATGTTTTATATTGTAAAAAATACTTTCGTTTTGATCATTGTTATCTCATTGCGATCTCCAAATATTATTTACACAGTTAAAAAAAGTGTGTAATACAGATTTACAAACAAGTACATGATCATATGATTAATGAATAAATTGATCAATATCTTTGTAATGTTTATATTGTGTACTTCATCATAAAAATAGTGTACGTAAAATTGATATTGGAAACCGAAAAAAAAATAATAGTAATCATTGTTTATTAAAGCTTAAGATTTCTCAAAAATACTTTCTCACAATTTCATAATACTATCTCATTTCTTACTGAGCACAACTAATATTGACTTACTGGAAAGCAGTTGGTTTTCAACTTGGCAAGATGAACCAATTACATTTGAGATAGCAAGTCATGGATTTTTGGCCCGACATTTATCCATCCATATGGTTTATTAACATTTTAGTATTATAGTTGATGCCATTTCGTGATTTCAAAAAAAAAAACAACCCTCAAGTCTCATCCCTAACACTTATATCCAGCTCGAAAACTTATGCCTAATTCCTAACACTAGTAAGTAGGTGAATAGTCTCAAGGTCACAGTGGTGTCACTCATAGGCAGACAAGCCATAAATTCCAATATCACATTCAACTTTACAAAATTGAATAACAGATTGATTATTTGTGGTGATTTGCCCAAGTTACCACTACAACAATGACTACAACGAATAAAGAATACAGATAGTTTTTTTAAAAAAAATTTGAATAACTTGTTATTATTTATCTATTTTTATCATAAAATAATGTCCTTTAAAAACTTTTAAAAGAATATTAAACTTATCTATCAAAAAATTTGCTTCATATATACACATACATCCAGAAAATAAAGAGAGAGAGAGAGAGAGTTGGAGAGAGCAAGATAGATGGAATAAGATAAACATAGTTTTCCTTTCACTTTTCAAGGGGAATATATTTCATTTTTGTTTTTCAGGAAAAAAAAACAATAATTACAATAATGACGAGAATATTTATTTAAAATTAATCAACAAATTGCGTGATTATTTGTGAAAATTGTTTATCAAGGTATGTATATGTGTATACAAATACATTTTAAACTTTGTCACTGCATAAACTAGTTATCTAGTTTAAACTTTTTTGTATACATGTTATTATATTTACCTGGTTAGTTGTTAATAAGTACATAAACTGAGTACTCTCTGTTTCTCTATCATTCCATTTGTATGTTACTGATATACATACATTTATTTATTTACAATGTCATCAGAATTGTTATCTTCCCATTGTTTCTATAGTAAAGTAAATAACAGGTAATTTGGATAATAATAATAATAATAATATTATTATTATTATTAATAATATCATCATTCTTATTATGACCAATTATTATCAAGTTGACCATACAACAATAATGTGCGTGTCAATAAATTAAATAACGAATTAATTAGATAAATAGATGGACATAAATACAGTAATAACTGAGGCATTGATGAATGAATAAATGTTAAAAAATAAGGTGAATTTATGAAAAATTGTCCACACCCATCAGTTGATATGAACAGTCATGTGAATAGTTCAACTATTAGATTTATGGTAAATAGTATAATTTACGTTTTTAGTTCTGTTTGCATATTTTTCATACTCAAATAAAGTTTATAAATTATTAACTTCACCTCCGTGTCACAAGTGTATGTTTGTATATATATATATATATGTA